CCCTGAGGAGAAACCCCCCCTTATTTTTTTTGCTCTGGTTTTTTGAGACACGGTCTTGGTCTGCTATCTAGGCTTGAGTGCAGTGGCATTCATAGCTTACTGCAGCCTCGAACTCCTGGGCTAAAGGGATCCTCCTACCTCAGCTTCCTGAGTAGCTGCGATTACAGATGTGCATTGCTATGCCTGGCTAATGAGAAACTCTATTTTATAGACTAAGAATATCATGGACTTGCAGTTAAGAAGGACAAATAAACCATCCATGCACACATATTAATCTTTGCTCTCTCCTGAAATTACACTAAAATTACAATAAAGGGATAAAATAGCTTGAAGTTACAAGGTTAAAGAACAGGATATGATAGCATTATAATATTTTGGAATGTTCAACACAGATGGACAGGTGGTTAATGACAGTAAGTCTGACTCATGCCAAAGAAGCTAGGGACGTTTAAGAAATTGCAGGTGTTAGTATTTTGAAAACGGTGAGACTAAAAACAGAATTGACTGAAATCTGTTAACCAATCTATCCCCCAGATTATTCTGGCATTTTTTATCTTATTTTTCATTTTTCTTTTTTTGAAACAGGCTCTTGCTCTGTCACCCAGGCCGGAGTGCAGTGTGCAATCATGGCTCGCTGCAGCCTCAACCTCCTGGGTTCAACAATCCTCCTGCCTCAGCCTCTCCTCTCGAGTAGCTGGGACTACAGGTGTGTGCCACACCCAACTAATTAAAAAAAATGTAGCAATTAAGTCTCACTGTGTTTCCCAGACTGGTCTTGAACTCTTGGGCTCAAGTGATCCTCCTGCCTCCTAAAGTGCCAGCATTCAGACGTGAGCCACCATACCCAGCCCTAGGGTTTTTCTTAATATGCCAGCTTTTCAGTGATTCTTGATAGAGCATGTGAGCTGATATAAACTTTTTTTTTTTTTTTTTTTTTGAGATAGAGTCTCACTCTGTCAACCAGGCTGGAGTGCAGTACCGTGATCTCAGCTTTTTGCAACTTCCATCTCCCGGGTTCAAGCGATACTCCTGCCTCAGCCTCCTAAGTAGGTGGGACTGTAAACATGTGCCACCATGCCTGGCTAATTTTTGTATTTTTAGTAGAGATGGGGTTTCAACACATTGTCCAGGTTGGTCTTGAACTCCTAGCCTCAGATGATCCACCTGCCTCAGCCTCCCACAGTGCTGGGATTACAGGCATGAGCCACCACACCCAGCATGATACAAACATCTTGATTATGTAAAAGATTTGTTAAGACTGGGTGTGGTGGTTCATGCCTGTAATCCCAGCACTTTGGGCAACCCAAATGGTGGGTGGATCTCTTGAGATCAGGAATTCAAGACCAGCCTGGCCAACGTGGTGAACTCTGTCTCTACAAAAAATTCAAAAAATTAGCCGAGTGTGGTGGTGTGTGCCTGTAGTCCCAGCTACTCAGGAGCCTGAGGTGGGGGGATCTCTTGAGCCAGGGAGGTGAAGGTTGCAGTCAGCTGAGATTATGCCATTGTACTCCAGCTTGGGCAACAGAGCAAGACTCTGTCTAAAAAAAAAAAGATAAATGGAATAAAGTAGCTTGATAACCATTTGATGGTTCAAGTCTGTGTGTGAATTGAGGGGAATCATGAGAATCTTTCTTGCCTAAATAACCAAAATAAACTAAAAAGTTAAGGACAATGAATGTACAAGATTCAAACCAGCCTTAAGAATTAAGACCAACCAAATTGGGGCATTAGGTTTGTGCTTTGAAGCACCCCTTCTGCTCCAAATTAATAAAAAACTATAGAGAAGGCCAGGCGCGGTGGCTCTTGCCTGTAATCCCAGCACTTTGGGAGGCCAAGATAGGCAGACCACGAGGCCATAAGATCGAGATCGTCTTGGCCAACATAGTGAAACCCTTTCTCTACTAAAAAAAAAAAATACAAAAATTAGCTGGGTGTAGTGGTGCATGCCTGCAGTCCCAGCCACTCGGGAGGCTAAGGCAGGAGAATCCCTTGAACCAGGGAGCTGGAGGTTGCAGTGAGCTGAGATTGTGCCACTATACTCCAGCCTGGTGACAGAAGGAGACTCCATCTCAAAAAAAAAAAAAAAAAAAAA